TAATTAATATAATTATTTTATAATTATATTAATTAATATAATTAATTATATTAATTAATATAATTATTTTCTAATTTTGTTACATGTGCTTTTAAAGTAGGCATTGAATACGATACGATTGCTTGTTTTTTTTTCTCCAAAAGATTGCATTTCTTCTTCAGTATAAACATAGTATACAACACATAACAGAGAAAGGCAAAGCATAAATGAAGGTTCCAATCATAGATACAAGAACAACAGACGCAACAAAGTTGTTAGTCGTGAAGTGATAACAATGCCACTAAGACCAAGAAATGATAACCCTGCCTCTGGAAGAGAGAAAAGAGAAATTAGCTCGCTCCAGATAGGCATTCATGAATTAAATGAACAGAACCATGACCCATATGGTTAAAATTACACAATGAGGAAAATAAGTATAAAGAAAACTAGCTGCAGCTCCTATACACATTACATCTCACTAGGGCACTGGGGACCTATCATAAAAGATCTAGCGCCTGGTGGTATTGCCCACATCTCCACTATAGAGGCTTCTAAGAGTTGCAGAAGGTATGCTTGTGCCTAACAAAAAGGAGATAGATCCGGAAAGGCAAGTGCACAGTTGTCTATTGCCTTCCAAGCACAACCTACCCAATATGCGGTGTATGTCTTCTGTCAAATATCAAGATGTATATCGAAAGGGTTTTACTATATCTTGTATTTCCTGATTGGTGAAACAGTGCAAGATATAGACTCAACGTTTTTAACCAGTTAACATCCGCGGTGTTAAACCCCCTTCCCATCCAGGCCATTTTTCAGTATTCAGCGCTGCGGTACTTTGACTGACATTTATTCCGTCATTTAGTGTAGGTAGAACTATTCAAGTTTGTCATTTAGTCTCTCTCTCCACATTAGTGTTTTAACAAGGGTTAGTAAATTTGTGATTTTAGGGGGGAGGACATCCATCGGTTCATAATTTCACATTGTGCCAGCAAAACACAGTTGTGGATCCAAACTGTCCTAGCTTTAGGGAAATGTGTAGGAGGGGACCAACAGGCAGATCTTCAGATCTTTTATAAGTTATACTCTCTGTAACCGGTTTAGGTAAGCAAGGTTGTTTTCCCAAAACTTAGAGCTATATGGGCATTCCCACAGACAATGTTCTAATTTAGCTCCTACTTCACAATATTTAGGACAGTGTTGAAAATATGGCGCCGAAGCCCCTATTTTATGGGAGGTGTCAAAAGCATAGTAACCTTTATAAATCTGAATTGTGTTTTCTCTTCAGACCTCATTTGGAGTACTGTTCTGTTCTGACAGGTAACCCAAAGAGCCTATCACAGTGATCCTCTGCAGGGAAATACATATTCCACTTATTCATAGTAGACTTAACCAATGGGGGAGTAAATATGGCATTAAGGTGGGGATACAGGCATGATATAGAATACATGGCTTTTTGCAACAAAATATCAAGTACATGTGTTTTAAGCAGACAATTGTTTGTTTTAACATGTATAGTTCTAATGTAATGTCTTTCCAGGGATGGCAATGCTGGTCCAGAAAGTGGCATTGTACAGTTAGAGGCACAACGTGCATTTAGGACTCGAAGGCAAATCTCTGAGGAAACAGAAGGTCCAGAAGTGAGAGATTCTCCAGAGGTAAAAAAAAAAAAAATATGAATCAGAACAGCACAAAGACATCCATACTGTTTGTAGCCTAAAAAGGTCAAGAATATTTTTCAGTTATGCTTACCTTTATCTCCTTCCACATGAGATCTGCATTATAGGCATTTGCTCTTGTTAATTCTGTAATGTACAAACAATCGGTACACGTATTTTATGAATGTTTTATACTCTTTAGGTTAGTCACGTGGAGAGTACATTTGATTTACATCTTTGCTCCTAACTGATCTTGAAAAGGTCTGAATTTGGCCCTGGTACTTTTTGAAGTATGCTTCACTTTTAAAGTGGCACCTTCTCCACATAAATAATGCTTACCTATAAAATTTCCCCTTCTGCAGGAGACAGAAATTATGATTCCCATCATTTTTATTTCAGTAATCAATATACATCATTTTAGAAAAACCAGTGAAACAATTCGATGCTCACCTTCCTGATCATTATCAGTCTTCTGATCTGCCTCCTTCTGCTCATCTCTTGATATGACAATTTTATCAAAAAATTTACTAGTTGCACAGTAATTGTTGGGTTCAGTTATTTCTCAGTATAATAAACTATATTCATTCAGATTTATTGGGGAATTTTCTGTTCCAATGTGTACTGGTAAAATGAAAGTTTCAACTTTTAATGATATTCTGTCTAGATGCTTTATACATTTAGTCATTTTATTATGTTTTTTTCTTAACAGAGTTGGGAAATTATAACTGAAGATGATTCCACTGTATATAGCAACCACAGCACTCAACCACACTCATTATCTAGCCATGACCTCCAAACTCAAGTTACTGATGAGCTTGATGCAAGGCTTCACATATCTGGGAATACTGCCAGTGGCAGACAGAGCTCAAACATTGTAAGTTATTTTTGTATCGCTATTATCATTTATTAATGAAACATTAACAAGCCTCAGGACACGACCTTATGACTTCTGTGAGGATCCAGCAATCCAAACGCACAATCTAAAATTTCCTGTAAAAATCACAAATGTGTAATTTGTTTTAAATATGTAAATGTTTGTTTCTTCCCCGTTTCATGTTAGATGTTTGTAAAATGTATAGTGAAAGATTTGTTATTGCCATCAGTTTAGAAAGGGAAAAGACGGAAAAATGCAGTAAATAAAACCCTACTTATTAGCAATATGACCCCCCAACATTCTATTATTTCCCAAACCTTTCCTCAGGTACCACAAACTGGTCATGTTTTACTGGTTTCTAGGCCTTTCTACTAATGCTTTCTATTTAAAGGGTCATTACACCCAATGTTGTTTATGGTTAGGGCCTAGTGTACTGAGTCATCTGCTGGCTCCCTTTATTGCTTAGGGACTAAGTTCTCCATGACTTACTTTTGCTCTGTGTTTGTGACACACTGCAGGACCTCACTGTTGCTATAAAACGGGTATTCTTCCTCATGTTGCATTTTCTATTATATAAAATAAATTAAGAATGTAACATGGAAAGTGAAACAGTGTAAGTGTGTGCACAGACCTGAGATTCGGAGATCTTGCCTTAAGTTTTATGTTTAATAGCTGATGATAAAGCAAAAAAGGACTTGAATGTAATAAAACTTGTTTAAGAAGCATGTCAATCAAATCTATTTTCTTCCAAATGTTCTTAGTTAACAGGACCTTTACTTAATTGTTACAAATTTAGAGCTGGACCCAGGAACTTAGTGAAGTTAAATTTAAAAGAGAAGTATTGTAAGAGCAATATATACTTCTCCCAATACCTAAAACCAACGTGGGACACTGCAGCTGTCACATTTCGGCTCTATACTGAGAGCTGAGCAATTATGAACTGCTGATCGCTCAGCTCATGGCTTGTTCCTGCAGAGCAATGACTGTCAGTCACCCCCTCCCCTCTATGTTCCCGCAGCACTCAATGGAGGGACAGACAGGGCACTGGCTCTAGAGAGGTAGAGGCAGCTGTCAATCAGGCAGCCAAGGATCTTAACAATATTGTTGGGATCCTTGCCGACTGCAGTGCAGCAGTAGCCCACTATATGTTGACTTTGGGTCACAGAAGTACATTAGTAAATGTACTCCTGTGACCCAAGATGTATGTAATTTGTTAGATATACTACTTCAAAATCGTATTATCCTTGCTGCCCACCCACTGCTTACATGCTTTCATTTGCAGCGTCCTGTTGTTCATCTTTTGAATTGATGTAGTATGAGCCTTGTGGGTTTTCCCAACTACCCAGGGCAGAGCAGATGTGATGGAAGTATACAGGCAGTATGTGAACAGCAGTGAGAGCTGAAATTTCTCTGTAGCATCTGCAAAGGCCACCAGAGAGGGAAGTTCATTGTATATAAAATTACATTTCTTGGAGTTTCTCTTAAATAAGAAATTTTTTGAGGAAATGTGGCAAAATGTAATTTAAGAAGTATTGTACACACGCTCAAGTCTTTTCCATAGATTTTCATCCTTCATTTTCATCACATTTTAAATGTATTTTGTAAAGGTGAATTCCAGCAGAAGAGGGAGCTTGCAATCTTATACGCAGGAAGAACTACCTACGTTACCAGTTGTAAGATTTTCTGTTGTCTCCCACTGCATGATGAATTGGCCATGTCTAATGGCGTTTTGACCTGTTTAATGTTGTCCTTTTGTTTTCTTCTTTTTATTGTTTGATGAAACAAGCTTACTCTGACCAATAGCAGTCAATTTGATGTCACAGTGCATTCATGTGCCTAAGATTAATATTTCTAGGGGAAAGGACTTTTCCTAATGCTATACTACACGATTATCGCTAGCACTGTTTAGTTCATTTACATTGCTAGCTCAATTTGGGCTGCATAAGGTAGGCCATATGGAATAGAGCTTATAGCTGCTTTGTGCAGGATGATGTTAAATAAACCCCATAGTCTTACAAATCTCCCTTGGACAAGTTGGAAAAAATGCATTTAAATTAGCTTTAGTGGGTAGCATCAAACATTTTTGGCTCTTGTCGATTTTAGCACCTGAGCATTTTATTTAAAGCTTTAATAACAGCATCAAAATATGCTTTTCTGGCTACAAGAAAAGATCTAACCTTGTAGAGGTTTTGTTTGGAGGTTTAGTATGCAAGACAGACCTAGCTGTCTGCAAATAAAATTTGTTTAATTCTTTACTGATATTGCAGTCTTTGGTAGATGCTAGACATTCTTGAGTATTGGTGAGATCCCTCTACTGTACTTGGGTTCTGGGTCTGCACACCTGCTATGGCCATTATATAAGGGTTTCAGTATTCCCTGTTGGGACTTTTTTTTCTTTTGCATGGAGAATGTAACAAAATTACATGGAGAATGTAACAAAATTAGGTCAAATACAGAAAGGTGGGAAGGAACACCCAACACTGGATAGAGTCTGAAATTGTGGCAGGGATATCCTGCTGTTTGGGAACCCAAGGAAACCCACAAAGTGCCAATTGTAACTAAAATATCACTTTTGTGTGGACTGTCTCTCTAAAAAGCAGCTTCAGGAGACAAAGTCCTTGCAGCTGTGCCTTGGTCAGATTTAGCAGATTTCTCACAGGGCATGGGTAACAGTGCAGCCCTCCATTCGTGTATGTAGTGATGAGGATGCAATGGGCTCAGGGGGTGGGCAGTACTTTTTAAAACACACCCTTTTTATGCTTATATTCAGGACCTGGAAAGTCAGCAGATTTTAGCTTGCAAGGCAGCCAACTGCTGAAATATTAATGTTAGGGCAAAAATTAGAGCTGCTTAGCAGGTGAGTCTTCTTCCCTAAGTCAGTTTAAAGGTAAAATATTTAGATTTTACTGGAGTGGCCCATTTCCACCAGTGACCGTACGTCGCTGGCTGCGGGCCTGTTTAAACATCCAACGGGGATTCTGTTTACAATTGTGAAGCCGACTGTCGGCGTTACAATAGAAGCGATTCTGGCGGCTTAGCTGCCGTCAGATTGCTTCTACCAGCCGGTAAAGTGCCCACCCGACACCCCCACCCTGTTTCCCGGGCTCCGCTGCCCCTCCTGCGGGCCCAAAATCGGCATCTTGGGTGTTGGCAGGGAGCTGGGGAGGAGAGCGGCGAGGTTTACTGATCTCCTCACCATTCTATGAAGCAGTTTGCATCACTTCCGGTCCCTGAGCTGTCAGTGCTGGGCTCCTGAAGCCCAGCAATAAGCTATTGAAGTGCGATCTGCACTTCAATAGCTTATTTAGAGTGGAAAGGTGACACTATGGATCCTTTGGACCCCCAGTGTCACCTTAAAGAGTACTTGTCACCACCAATATGCTATCACATGGGGGGCTTGTAAGCCCCCCTATGTAATAGCAATTAAAAGAAGAAAAAAAACTTTTAAAAAGTAATATAAAATAAATGTAAAAATAATGACATTTATTTATTTTTTTAAAGTCCCCCACAAGCAAGCGCGTATTCACGTAAACGCGTTGGGTGCAACTACGTATGAAAACAACTAATGCACGCTACACATGTTGAGTATCGCTGCGCACGCCAGAGTAAGAGCAATTGTTCTAGGACGAAAATGTACGTGTATCTCTAAATTGATGACCTGCAGGGGCTCTTAAAGCGTCGTCTATGGACTTTTTGGAGTACTGAATTTTGTTACCGTTTCACATACGCATACAATTTTTAACTTGGGCTTGTTGAATATCTATTTACTCGCCATTACCTCATCTTTTATAGTTTACAAAAAATATATTATTTTGGGGCACTAAATTTAAGTGCATTTTTCACTAAATTTTTGGGTTTGATAAAGAGTTTGTAATATCGTGCAACATAAAAATTTGCAACTGCCACCATTCTACAGGATCTTGGCTTTCAGGAAATATATAATGTTTGTGGGTTTGAAATAATTTTCAGGCCTAAAATGTGGATTATATGCAAAATGTGTGTTATATGTGGATGTATGCAAAAACAAAAAAAAGGCCTTGGCAGCGAAAGGGTCCTTAAGGGGTTAAATAACACAACACATTTTTTCAAATTTGCATGTATAGTGCTTCAGGTTTGCTTTGTTTTTGTATTTTGTTTCTGGTTTGGTTCAGCTTATTGTTCCTTTTGTTTTTGGTTTGCATGCTGGGCCAGAATATGCATTAAGTTCTGAAAATTGTATGTAAAAAGCACTTTTGCGGATCCAAAATCCACACATGCCCATGACTGTAAACTGTGCCATTGAAGGCGTTTCTTGTAAATGCATATGGTTTCTTTACTTTTTAAATCTATTTTTTTAACAGTTATTGCCTACCTCTTCTGGGTTGCCCCCTGGTTGGGAAGAAAAACAAGATGAGAAAGGAAGGTCATATTACATAGATCACAACACAAGAACAACTACATGGGAGAGGCCTGCTGTACAGGTACCAGGACACAATACACCACTGTTGGTTTCCCCAGTCCTTTGTTTTATGAGAATTTTGGTGTCATTGTTGGGTATTATGACATGCCTGACGTTTCGAAAAAAAGCAATAAGTGAATCTCCTTTCTTAAAATTATTCTTATCTTAGTAAATACAGTTAAATATGCATAGATACAATCATGCATTCCACTTAAAGGGGGCTTTGTTGTTTTTTTAGTGGCAAACAACTTTTAGTTTTTCCTCAGTCTGGCTAATTCTTGTTAATCTTCAGGGGTTGAAGCAGAAGATGCAATGGCACCTGCATTGGGGCCTACATGGCACATAGTGCTGCCTTTTGCAGCCACTGTAACAGGTTTCTGCCCAGTAGAAGAAACCAACAAGGCTAGAATGCTTTTCACTCCTGCGCCCATTATCATTTAGGGAAACCAGAGGAATATAGCATGGAAACTTGTACTTTTTCAGCAATTACATTTGGTACCTACACTTAGTAACATGCTAATAACTTTCATTCATCAGTCAAAACACAAATGTACCCAAATAGTGTTCTGATGGCCTTCTCTGTATCCTGCATATTACATACAAGATAACTTTGCCCATAATAGTTTTTTTTGGCTGACACATTCATATGATATTAAACTTCAATTTACCTGAAATTCTGAGGTAAAACTTTATAATCATATGCTATAATCAAAGTCTTTTTTATTATCTTTCAATCCCCCCCAGCACACCCTAAAAGCATAATGCTGACCTGTCTATGCTCCTGCTAGATCCATACTGTGTAGCCCATGGCAAGCCACAAAGCCACCATTGCAAACTCTCCAGCTGGTCACTATTCATTCCTATGAAGAGGCTATCTGTTGTGTCCCAACAGTACTTGGCCTCTCTATAGGAAAGAATGAGATTTGAGGGATCGGCTGTTGCGGTGGCTGTGCAGCTTCCTGGGGACCACACAGTTGGGATCTCACAGGAGCTTGACAGGTAAGCATAATGCTTATGGGGTGGGAGTAGGGAGTAGTGTAAAGGATAATAATTTCCTGGTTAGAACTTGAGTTGTGAAAAACATTTAAGGTCTTTTAAGATGTAAAACCTGAATTTGAATAAACTTTAAAGGTAAAATAACATTTGTACTCAGTTGTTCTAGTAACAGAGTACAGCACTATTATCCTACTTATTAAACCTTATATTGGGACTTATTAGCATCTGATATGTATACACAAAAAACTTTACACAGACATTAAAGCCTGAAAATGACCAGACCAGATATTCTAGTAACAGACATTAAAAGGCAGTCGGAAGTGCATTTACAAAGCAGGGGCAGTTAGCTTGCAGAACACTCTCCTAACTTGGTTAAGTTATTGTTGAAGCTTAGACCGCTTGAGCTCAGTATTTACTGGATGCAGAAATTATTGCATCTTGGAGTTTGGAAATACTGGTGATTAGGGCTGCAACAACTAATCGACTAAATCGATTATAATAGATTATTGAAAAAGTTGTCAACGTTTTCAGTCATCGATTAATCAGCTTTTGATTAGTTGGCCCTGTTCACGGCTCCACACACGCTGCGCGCCGCACCTCCTCCCCACCTCACGCTCGCCACTGCCAGGCCCGCATCCATGCTCCACACCCCGCACCTCCTCCCCGCCTCACGTTCACCACCCGCCCACATCCACGATCGGCACAGGGACGTGGGGAGAAGGAGGAGCAGGTGTGGGGGGGATGACAGCCGCCGATAGACAAGCCCGATCTCAGAAGCAAGTTGCTTGAAGACTGCTCAGGTAAGCCTGCACTTTTCCACACATGGTGCTCTATAATGTATTGCTGGGATTTGTATTCCTCTATAGCCGATGGTACATTGTGCTGTACTGTATATTATACAGAGCTATGTACCATCAGCTATAGAGGAACACAAATCCCAGCAATACATTATACACTGTATGTATTATACACTGTATGTATAATGTATTGCTGGGATTTGTTGTATTCCTATATAGCTGGTGGTATTCTGCATTGCGCTGTATAAAGGACTACAAATCCCAGAAATAATACATTATACAGCGCAATGCAGAATACCACCAGCTATAGAGGAGTAAAACAAATCCCAGCAATAATACACAATACAGTGGTGCAATGCCGAATACCACTAGCTATGGAGGACTACAAAACCCAACAATAGTACATTATACAGCGCAATGAAGAATACTGCCAGCTATAATGTACTATTGCTGGGATTTGTTGTATTCCTCTATAGCTGGTGGTATTCTGCATTGTGCTGTACAATGTACTATTGCTGGGGTTTTTTTTTTTACTTCCACCGCTCCGAGCTTGCTCCTGTGATGGACTACAATCACAATACAAACTAGTAGTCCCATCACTGGAGCCATTTTTTAAAATGTATTTTATTTTATTTTTTAACCGATTAATCGAACTTAATCGGCTGACTAATCGATTTTGAAAGTAATTGTTAGCTGCAGCTCTACTGGTGATAGCCTTTTTTCTGTTGTGTTAGTGGTGTTTTTAGTTAGTAATAATGCCACCCACAAGATACCTGTAAAGCAAGTTTCTATGCAACTACCATTATTATCATTTGTGTGTAGGTGCTGCTTTTGTTTAGACATATAGGAAGCCTCCAGTTAAAATTTGCTCTCAAAGAGTCTTCAACATTGATTCTCTACAGCAGGCACCAGTGGAAGTGGCACAGGCACCCTCAATTCAGAGCATCCCCACCAGTCGTCAGCTTCAGATACCAACAAATGAATCTTCAAAACATTTGGTGGACCGGGATCAGGGTTTCCTCCCCAAAGGCTGGGAAATGCGGCATGCACCGAATGGAAGAGCTTTCTTCATAAACCATGCCACTAAAACTACTACATGGGTATTAAGTCTACATTCATAAGATGTTGCATATTGAATAGTATCAGTAAATGGTTTTATTATATTGTGTGAGAGAAGATGTTATTACCAACATATACAATATATTCACCTAAACAATATGGTCTGTGCTTTTTATAGGTCTGCTGCATTTTAATTGTGGAAAACATAATTACTATGAATGTCCTTTATTTCAGTGCTTGTTGGCATAGATCTATTTCTGAGCTACACATACAGGCTTTTTCAATAATAGGGAATACAGTAAACCACTGCAACTAACCAGAACCAATCAGATGTGAAGAGGAGAGTTCTGAAATACTGTTGCTAGCTAATAAGACACTGCTGGCCTATTGATTAGTGTGTCAAGTGGAAATATTTTATGTCCCAGGTTGAGAAGTGAAGGCTTCTACAACTAATTGAGCGTAATCTCAAATGGGGCACATAGGTGGGTTTCTGGGCAAAAAGAGGTAATGTAATATAAGTCACCTTGTGTGCCTGTTCTTAGGCAACACATTTAGGTTTATTTGGAATAGAGGGCGGGTTCACTATGAATATATCTTGCAATCATTTTCTAAGTCTACAAAATACTGCAGTCTGGATCTAGTAACATCAGGTTACATTGCTACTTTTGGATCACCCTCATCATCAAAATGATCCAGTATTTATAAAACCCAACCTTAGCCAAAGTTGGTGTGTACCTATTTGGGAGAGTACCCCTGACTTCCTTTTCCTGTGACCAATATAGAAATTGAGAGTAAATTTCCCCATGGGAACCCAAATAGCATGAAAAACGTACTAGGTTTCCAACCCTTTTCCTCTTTATGCGAGTTGGGCTTTTAGTAATATTTTAGTGCTACACACAACTAGTTTTGTGCAACATGGTCTACCAGAAGAGGGTTGGTATCTATCATACAGTAAAAATGACAGACACATGATGTACTCTATACTGAGCAATTTAATTTTATACCTAACAAAACTACACTCTTTTGGTTGCATTTTGAGCTCTATTATTATAATTGGTTGCTTCCTATCACTTCCATAAAAATATCTCTGATTTGTTATAGGAAGATCCAAGGTTGAGAATTCCAGTTCAGCTAAGGCCAAAGCCACCCATTGATCTCTCAGACCTGGGACCACTACAAGTGAGTGACAAATTAAGCAAAACTACTTCCTGTGTTATGTTTATTGTTGTCACCTAAACCCTTTCTTTCCATAGCATATATAAGGACTAGGGTTGCACTGATACCGGTTTTTATATTTCGGTACTCGCCGATACCGAGTAACGATACCGGTACTTCCACTAGCATGGAGTCGGCTTCCCGAGCAATCAGGGAGGTAGGTAATTACCTGCTGCCCAGGATTCCTGATTGGCTGGGAAACTAGCTCTATGCTGTTTTGCTGGCTCGATGCTGATTGGCCGGGAAGCAGACACCATGCTCCATGTTCCCTCACGGCACCATGTTCCCTCTGACCGTAAGTCCTGTTATCGGGGGTAAGTATCGGAGCATTTGGGCGAGTACGCGTATACTAGTATCGGTGCATCCCTAATAAGTACAATGTTATATAACTGTTGCATCTGGGTCCCCCCCCCCAAATCTCTGATTAACATTACCCTTAATTGTCAGTCCACCAACAGTTCTAGCTGGACCTCCATGCATGGAATTGCCCACTGACATTTTATATATCTTGAGAACTTAAACCCTAACTCCTGTTTTAGCAAACAAAATTCAAAATGTCAGTCCCTGGCAGTAGTAAACAAACATAATTGGCTGCTATGCTTGTCTGATCTCTCCTGCAGAAGACAAGAATCACCAGCACTCAGTAATATCATTCAATATGTCCATTTATTTGGACAGATCGTCACAATGAAAGAAGCCAACGTTTCGGGGCAAGAAGGGACCCTGGGTGGCCCCGAAATGCTGGCTTCTTTCAGTGCTGGTGAGTCTTGTCTTCTACCTTGTGTCTGCACAGCGCCATCCGTGGTCATCACTACGAGCACCATTGTACAGGCCGTGAGCGTTGTGAGGAGTGCGGAGGGACTTTCTATCTCTCCACATCTGATCTCTCCTGCAGACTCACCGATCCAGTGATGCTGGGCTGCTCCTCTTCCAGGTTGAATGAGGCCCAGTGTCATTTAGCAACTTTTCTGTGAGGCCAGGCCATCAAGGCTTTGGCCACCAGCCTGGACTCGCAGAAAAATGCTGAGGCGCCACACTTTTACATTTTAGATTTATAATGCTTTTGCAAGGATGTTTGTATCTGTATATTGTTGATTTTTATTGCTCTGTTTATCATGTGTTTTTTTTTTTTTTCTCTTTTCAGCCTGGCTGGGAAGAACGAACACATACGGATGGCAGAGTCTTTTATATTAACCATAGTAAGCCACAATCTGTTTTTCTCTTATTGTTTTATAGGCTGACAAATCCACAAAAATGTTTTAAAAAAAAGAAGCTTTTTAGATTTTAAACTATATAATTTTTTTATGTTGACAATTCCAGTATTAAACAGATGGGCACTGACAGTGAACAGTTACAACCAGAATTTAGAGCCACCAGCCACAAAAAGTGTTGGTTGTTGGCTCTCAAAGGGAGAAGGATTGTGGGTAGGAAGGAGTTAAATAATGCTTTGCCATGTGTAGTTGATGTTCACTCTTAATAATTTCAGGCTCAAAGAAAACGCAGTGGGAAGATCCACGATTACAGACTGCAGCAATATCTGGGCCAGTAAGTTTTTGTATTTTGTCTTTGTCTAAGTATCACTGTGATCAGTTTGATATTGTATGATTTTCTGTTTAATGTTGCATTGTTTTAGACTGGAGTGTATTGTTCTTTATGACTACCACCACTGTGCTCTATAGTTAAAACTGTAAAGCTTTATATGTTAAAACTGTAAATGCAATTCTGTTTGTACATTATTATCTTAAGTAAATAGTGAAACGGATTTCAGATGTAACTATTCACTGGGTTAGTGCATCCCCAGCCTGCGCAGCACATGGCTCTCTTGATCCAGCACAGTGAGACCATCCATTTATTTTTATGAGGACTGGATGCCACACATATACACTAGAACATAGAAGCCAAGCATCTTTATGATTAAAATAATGCCTAGTGCTGCACGGGCCGGAGTAGTTCAACTCAGCTAACATCTGTATATGAGGCTTGTGTCATTTATTTGTTTATTTATGAGTAAGGTGAATTGCTGTATAGTCACAATTTAAGCACACAGGAGATTCACACTAAGATCTAAATTAGACAAGGTAGTCCTCTGCCTCCTAGTGTACAGAAAGTAACCTCCAGCTTACTTACTTTAAAAAAAAGTTTTTACTCTAAATCTTTTACTTCATTAATTCTACTGTATTGATAAATGTTATATTAAATTCATCCACACTTGTTTTTGCTTTGAAGGCCGTGCCTTATTCACGGGATTACAAAAGAAAATATGAATATTTTCGGAAAAAGTTAAAGAAGCAGGTAAATCTGTCCTAAACACAGTTTGCATAGATGCACAGTAATGTTGTTAGTATTAGATGGTAAGTGTAAAGGTAGAGCCTGTAATACCAGGGTTTTGTTTGTGTCAGACAAGTGTATGTGAATGTAAAACCTGCTTGAAGTCAGTCAAAAGCAGGTCAGGAGGATGTAAACTGCAGGTCAGAATCACTTGTCAGTGAATTTGGAAGGATCTCAAAAGTGTCTTAAACTGATGCCATCAGCACAAGCCCAAATGACTGATAGAATTACTAGTGTATCAGTTAACTTAAGCATGTTTTATTCATCTCATTTTGTCATTTTCACCCTAAGGCCTCATTCACACTGCCCTATAATACGCTGCGTATATATGCACGCATTGTCCCATATGCAAATAAATGGCTCCATACACATAGCTGCATATGGAGCCGTATACTTGCGTAGCGTAAAAATGCGCAAAAACAGAATGGACCCGAGATGCGTCCGGGCAGCGTATTTTACGCGCATGTACGCGCGTACAGTTCAATAAAATGTCTATTACAAATGATGCATTCTGGGATTGCATATAGTGCACGCATATACGCGCGTACACATACGCATATATACGCAATATACAATTTTGCTCTTGCGTTGTTTGTGAATGGACCTTAATATGCCAGTTAGCACTATCTTTCTATTCTACTTTGTTTTCAGTTTAGGATGCCCATTGACATTAAATGATTATTGCCTGATCCTGGTATTTACCGTCCATTTTGAAACTGATTCTATGCATAAGCATTCTGTAATGTTTTCAGTTGTCTGAACTATTTTTAATTGATATGGCACCTGAATTCCTACATCTGCTGTGTTCACTGTTGAGCCGAGGATACTGTAGAGATCCTTTGGATTGCAGAAACTACCTACCTGTTAGCCAGATCACACATATTCACATCACTTAACTACTGTTGGATGGGAAACACCAAGAGAATAATCACACGGGTCCAGTGCTTTTCTTTCCAAACAATGAACTACAAAAGTGAGACAGCGTAACCGCCAGGCAACTAGCATTTTCAGAAGCAGGCAACTCCTCTTCTTTGAAGGACATTTACAAAGTTCACATAAAAAGTAACCAGTTAAACACTGGTGAGAGCAAGATAACTGACTATGATTTGTGTTTGTTTAGCTCGATATTCCTAATAGGTTTGAAATGAAGTTGCGTCGTACAGCCATATTTGAAGACTCCTACAGACGAATAATAGCCGTTAAAAGGCCAGAGTACCTTAAAGCACGACTGTGGATTGAATTTGACAATGAGAAAGGCTTGGATTATGGAGGAGTTGCCAGAGAATGGTTTTTCCTGATCTCCAAAGAAATGTTCAATCCTTATTATGGCCTCTTTGAATATTCAGCAACGTAAGTATATCTACAGGTGTCAGGGAAGATCTAAAGCACAGAAGTTCAGTGACAACTTGCCTTTTCTGCACCTGAATCATATGTAAAGCATGTTTTGTTTTTTTGTGGTCACGAGCCCTTCTTTAATCTCAGAAGTAAGTGCTGTGATATGGAACAGCCTATAATGTTTGTAAGCATGCTCCTTTGTCAGACAAGGCATTCATTATTAGCCAGTTATTTGCCCATTTTTCTTGAAGAATAAAATTCCTTTTCCTAATAAAGTAGGGCAGCAAAACTAGTCAAATCTTTTTTGAAAAATATGCGAATATCCTGCAATTTGTTGGCACCGTTTTATCACTTCTTTCAGTTTAAAGTAGGTGAGCAAATGATATATATCTTCCATGAAAAGTACATAAAAAATAAACAGTAATAGCAATGTTTTCATGAATGGATCACAGTAGCATCATTTACAGTTAATTATATAGGTGAATGATCATGCGGATGAATACTGACACTGGCTTTTGATTCTTTTTACAGTGATAATTATACCTTGCAAATAAATCCAAATTCTGGCTTGTGCAATGAAGACCATCTTTCTTATTTCAAATTTATTGGCCGTGTGGCTGGGATGGCAGTCTATCATGGAAAGCTGCTAGATGGTAGGTTTATGCTTTGTAACTTTCCATAACCACAGTAGTGGGTAACATGGGGACATGTTCTTTCTTCCTTAGACAAGGCCTGATACTTATGTGTGTGTTCTCTTAGTAGGTGATACATGATGCACTTGGGTGACAGAAGCTGTTTAACATGTTATAAAGAGGACAGAAATTCAGAATGTGATTGGCCAGACAACATGCCCTTTATACACATTAATTTCTATTTCTTGATCACAGGGAGTTAATTCTGGAACCAATGGGTTATGCAGCTACCTTCAGGTGATTAGACAAAGGCAAATCAAAAATGTAACAAGAGCCCTGTATAACACCCTTTCACTATTAGCCTGCCTAAACTTTTTTTTGTTAGCGTCCTTAGGTGATGGATGCCTTCTCTGTGTTTTAAAAGAAACATTCTTTTATGCTCTTTTTTTCTACCTGAAGAATCTGTAGCAAGTTTTCCTAAACTGTTCACTGCCACTGCAGCACCCCTCGACAGCTATCTAGATTGGTTTTATTCCCGACTGATCCTTGACGGACTGCACCCGGACCCTGCTGGAAGAAGGACCCAGGGCATGGAAGACTGGCATGTAATGTGCTCAGGGTGTTGCATCCTGCGTGTGGGGTTCACTTAGTGTAGTATATGGTATATTAGCCAGTGAATGCTATACAGGTCCAGAGCTATGGTCCATCTGCCAGAGGAGCCTAGTCCCTGAAGACCCCATTTGAAGGGTATACCCACTGGGTGCGCAAAGAACAGATGGGGGATGTTCCTTTAAATTACATCTGCAACCTCCCGCAAATGAGACCTCATCTAAGGTACAAAGTAAGCTAGGACTTCATCCCTGAAGGGTGCCCAGTGCATCTTCTGCAGTCCCTTCATATGTGGGCAGTAGAGGGGGCAGCAGCCCCTTTAAACATTTTGCCGCTTTTTCATTTTCATTGGCTGCCTGGGGGGCCACTTCTACACCTGCACAGCCTCCCTCTGGCGTACTGTACTGCACATGTGCCTGCCATTTTCTATCTCTTGGCATGAACTCTGAGCTGTCCATACTCTGCTGCTGCAACTCTACGCAATACAGCGCAGGGAGGAAAAACTACACACTGGATAACCATTGTGCCTGCAAGTGTCTGGATACAGTGCACCCTCCAACCTCCACATTTTGGAGGACTTTGGGGCTTGCTCTCAACACATGGCAGACAATAGATGCAGGAATGTATGAGCGGTGGACTGTCGATGTCGATGCGCAACTCAATAACAGTTCTGGGGGAAGGTTCTGTCCATTCCGATGACACTGTTTCTTGCTGTCCTATGCACTGCTCCTTTTCCCTGTTACGTCCTCAACGGCACCCTCCTCTACCTTGCTATCAACAGAGGAGTTTGCTTCAGTAATGACTGAGTTTATAAGGAAAATGTCTGACTTATTGGAGTCCTCAGACCACAGGGGCTCACAAGTGGGCCCCCTCACCTTCCCCTTCGGAGCTCCCTACATCAGCCTTGCCCAAGTCTGGGTTCTTTAAAAATGCCCAAACCCGCTTTTACAGTCCCTGTTTTCAAGGACAAAGTGTACTTAAAAGTTCAAAACTTTTTCCTGTTGCCCTGCACTATTGTGTTGATGAGTCTCTTGCTATTTGGACAACCCTCGCTTTAAATAGTGGGGGAAATCTGTCCGCCTTCTTGGTCCAGGACATTCCTGATGCCAGGGTCCATAGCGTCATAACCGACAATTACAAATTTGAGTTTAGTTTTCACTGCCCTAGATCAGCTCCATTCTTAAGGGGTCATATTTCCCGTTCTAAAGGCAGAGAGATTTCAAGGGTTCTTTTCCAACCTGTTCACTGACTCCCAGTCAACATCCTGGAGCTCAGGGCAATTTAGTTGTCCCTTCTTTACTTGAACTCTCAGTTACAGGGTCACCTGACCAGGATTCAGTCAGACAAGGACATGGCTGTGGCTTATATCATGGAGGCACCAGAAGTCGTGCAGCTCAAAAGGGAAGCGAACCTGATTCTGGCTAGGGTGGAACTTCAGATCCCGGCCCTGTCCGTCGTACACATTCCAGGCATGAAAAATGGTCCAGCTGACCGTAGTACGTGGACATAGTCAATCTCCTGGCAGACTTTTCATAGGCAATTCCAGATTATCCAGACTTTCTGTTCCAAAGACTGGTATTCCATCCTGCTGAAAGACAGAGTCCTTTCAGGCGTTGTCATCCCTAAGCACCTAACTCTACTAGAAGTAGGACACTCAACTCTGTTTATGTGCTCCACTCTTGTACTACTTGCTACAAAATCAAAGCAGGATGGGAGAGGGAGGAGTTATACAGGGCTGTCCTTACAGCTTTCATTTCCAAACCGAATGATATCCATTCACCTGATGGTAGCTGCATAACTCATTTGTTCCAGAATTACCTCCCTTTAATGTACTCCCAAGAAATGTTTTTTAGGTTAACCACAAATCCTGTTTTTAACACCCAGCTGTAAATGTGCAGATGCAGTCTTTTTTTTCTAACTTGGAACCTGTTTATCATTAAAGATTTGCCATGTGGCGAATTGTCAATAAATAGCATAAGACAGCTTTTGTAGACTGATGATGCTGAATGAAACACTTAAAACTTGTGATCCCAATAAAAATTTTAGTATATATTTCCTAAATGTCCTAGCTAGGGATATCCCGATGCCACTTTTTCAGGCTCAAGCACAAGTACTTCCCCTCATGTACTTGCCGATACCAATTACCGATACTTTTTCTTAAAGGGACAGGTGACTTTAAATGATTCATAGTACAACTACATGTTCTGTACTATGGATCATGATTTAACCTATTCATGTTAGCAGGGGAGAATTGTAACTCTATTGCTGGAGTGTAGTGGAGGTGTGTGCTGTATATATGTATTACATATACATTACACACGTCCAGTACACTATAGCAATAGATTTACAGCCAGCCCCGTCCCAGCTTCCCTCACTCACAGTTTCACGCCGATCCCTGTTGCCTCACGCGGTGCCTCTCGTAGTCAGCGCTGGGCAGGATCGCTGCATCAAGTCTCGGTGCTCAGCTTGTGGGAGGCGCTCACAATTCTGCCCTGCTAACATGAATAGGTTAAATCATGATCCGCAGTACATATGTCCAGTACACTGCAGTAATAGAATTACAATTCTCCCCTGCTAACATGCATAGGTTAAATCATAAACCATAGTACATAATAGTACATAACATGAAGTTGTACTATGGATCATTTAACCCATTCATGTTAGCAGGGGATCATTGTAAATCTAATGCTGCAATGTACGGGGCATTTGTGCTGTATATGTACAGTACATATAGATATACAATTCTGCACTGCTAACATGAATGGGTTAAATGATCCGTAGTACAGGGCTACATATCATGTACTATGGATCATTTAACCCATTCATATAATAATACAGTGCAGAGAATACATTTACAAATACACTTTGCAGCACTTCCGGCACTCACTGTGCCGGAGAGAGCAGCGACGAGTCAGCGCTGGTCCAGTGGGAGGAGCTCCAGGTGGGGTCCTAATTTAGCTGGCTCAGAGGTGCCTGCC